AAGGAGCAGGAAGAGGCGTCCAATCTTGTCCTGACGAGTCCAAGACAGCGTCGTCCCGCTAATCGATTTTCTCCAACATTGCTGACTGAGCAGCTGCAACGTCGAAAGTCGATGACGGCCAGCAGCTCATCGGGCAATACGCGTGCAGTAGAGCCCACAAACAGGCGCGGTTCAGAGTTTGCGTCGATCGGTCCTTCTAAGAGGAAGGCTTCTTCCTTGCCCAGGCGGGCGTCGCAGCGCAGAGCAAAGCAAGCTGCTACCAACTTGCTTGCTGAACATGATTCGGGCGGATCAAGTGAGCGCTCCGCTTCTAGTGACGAGGTAGCGTCGGACGCTGCCAGCAGTGAAGCGGAGGGAGAAGGAAAGACGGCAAAAGGGATTACGATGGACGAACGAGAAGAAGATCAAGAGGAAAGCGGAGGAGAAGCAGCAGAGACAGAAGAGGACGAAGGGGAAGAGGGAGAAGAGGATGGTGAGCAAGATGAAGAGGAGGCGGCGGAGGAGCACGACGAGCAGGGAGAAGAAGCAAGTGAACTGGCAGAAGATGACGACGATGTTCAGAACAGCCATCCTGCGACGCGCAGGGTCAAGCCGCGCGCTTCTGCGCCTGGCTTGTCAGGCCGTACAACTGGCAAAGCTCCCAATAGGACCTACAAGTCTGCCGCTGCCGCCCGGAGACGACATTCGAGCGCAGCTCAGGTCTCGAGTCAGCGATCTCTGCGCGCTCAAGCTCGAACTTCCGTCACTTCGAAGACTCAATCTCGAAATGGAAAGTCAAAGAAAGTGGCAGAGAAACGAGTTGCGTCTGACCACAATGAACAAAATCGACCCTCGAAATCTAAGCGCCGCCGCTTGACCAATAGCGATCGGCAGGCACCGCAAAGCGATTCTGTCGCTTGCAATGCGCTTACAGCCGCTGCTCCTGATCCAGCTACCTCTTCCAGGGCAAGACCTTCTCCATGGCAAAAGAAGGTGGGTTGTTGCACGACTGAGAAGAGAGTCAGCGTCTAGAATTTGCTAACCGACCCGTACTGTGCTTCGACAGGCATTCTTGAGTGCAGGCCTATACTCTAGCACATTCAAGCTGGCATCGCCAGAGAAAGCACGCAAAGCTTCTCGCAAATCGTTGCCAGCCGTCAAACCACGCGGGACTGTTCGTACGCGCGTTTCCGAAGGCACCTCGGCATTTCCTGCGCCTGTTCACTACGGCAACACACTGCTTGTCGAGCAGAGAGACTTTCGGCTCGCGTACCCAATCGCGAAGCGTGGAGAAGAGCTGCGCGACAGAATGGACGCAAAGAAGAAACCTCCACCCTACAAATCCATCTCGAAGAATAGATGGGTGTCGCGCAAGCGCATACATGGTGAGGTGCCGGTGTGCATCTGCGAGCCGTCGAGCAATTGCGGGGAGGAGTGCATGAACAGGGTGCTGCAGTACATTTGCAACCCGAAGCAGTGTCCATGTGGCGAGAGGTGCACCAACATCTCCTTGGCAAAGCGTGCCAAAGTGACGACCACAGTGGCATATGTGAGTCGCGTGCGACCCAATCTTCGGCTCACATGCGTGCGCTGATGCACCTATCCCCGTGAAATTTTGGGCACTAGTATGGAGAACGCGGATTCGGTCTGCAGACCCAGCAGCGCATTCAAAAGGATCAATTCATCGACGAGTACCGCGGCGAGGTGATCAACCTCGCAGAATGCGCACGTCGCGTCACTGACTTTTACAAAGCCACTGGCAATTTTTACTTCTTGGACTACGACAATGCTGCGGGCGAAGTGCTTGACGGAGGTCTCAAGGGCAACATCACCCGATTTGCCAACCACTCTGTAAGTCGACCAACGCAAAGATTGGAGAAAGTGTGCGTCATCTTTGCTGACTTGCACGTAATTGCCAGTGCGATCCGAACTGCTACATCGAGAAATGGCTTGTTTGCGGATCGGATGAGGAGCGAGATGCAGAATTTCAAATTGGCTTGTATGCGCTGAGGGATATCGAGCCAGGAGAGGAGCTGACCTATGATTATGGTGAGTGGCTGCATCCCTACACCCTGTTATCTCGTACTTGCCATGGCAGAAGCTCACGTACGCGCTTGCGCCCTACTTCAGGATGGTCTGCCTTTGCACGCAAAGCTGTTGCAGGAGGCATTGCGGCAAGAGGCGCTGCTGCCGGCTTGAGTGGCAGCGCATCATCATCGAGTGATCCTTCAACGAGCGCAACCCAGATTAGCGCTACCCCTGATACCACCGCAACAATGGCCGAGCGCTGTCTTTGCAAGTCAGCCAATTGCTCAGGCATCCTGGGCGGCAAAAAGTTGGCGCCTGGCACTGTGTCACAGCGACAGCTGCTCGCACAAGCCGCTGAAGCAGCTGCTTCCGCCTCTGCCCGGGGCAAGAGCAAACGTGCGAAGGCGGCGGCTGCGGCTGCGGCAGCAGCAGCAGCGACCGCGGCCTCTGCTACTGGCTCCGAAAATCCGGATAGTAGTGCGCCGGGGACACCAGGCTCCACGTCTGTATCCGCGGAAGAGCGTCGCGCCGCTCGGCAGGCCAAAATCAGTCAACACGTATCCACTCTCGTACGGCAACGGGCTGCTAAGGAAGCTGAGCTTGCTCGCGCCGCCGAGGCGCGCAAAGCGCGCAGTTTGGCCAGATCTCAAGTGGCCTCTCCAAGCCACAGCGCGAGTCTGAGTCCTGCCCCATCAACACCGATGAGCACGCCAAGAAGCCAACAAACCTCTTCGACCCCAGTGTCACCAGCAAGGTCACTCTTATCGAGCACGATATCATCAGCACCGAGGCGCTCCAGCCGACTCGTCGGCACTCCCACTGAAGACGCACGCCCGATGTCCGAAGAGGAAGAGGAAGCGCAGTCGGGCTCGAGCGCCGCTGCCTCGACTGAGAGAGCTTTCGATCATTTGGCACGAGGAGGAAGTCAAAGTCTGAGTCGGCGCTCTGATGCAAGCGATGATCAGGGTCCCGCGATGTTTGACTGGGATGATACGACTGTGCACGACCACCAAGTGGCCAGGCAAGGCAGCGAAAAGGATGCGACCCCTAGCCCCTCGTCTCCTTCTGGTCTCTCCGGTACGACGGTCTCGGCAGGTCCATCGACTGCGCAAATGAACTCTAACGAGGCGCTCGCGAAGGAGCTAGATGAAGTGGCAGCAGATTCTGATGAGACGGAAGAAGAGACGGAACTCGACGTGGTTGCGCTCGCGCGTCTCGCTGAATTGGCAGGCAAGGCCACTGATCACGGCGGTCTCAGCGATGGAAATGCTTCGCTAAGCTCTCCAGAGGTCTCGCCTGCGAAGAAGCAGAGTAAGGGAGCCCTCCGTGCCGAAGAGGCAGCAAGTCCTGCAAACTCCGAGCCTCGATCAGTCGTGCACACGCGGTCTGGCCGCAAGTCGGCTGCCCCGCAACGGTGGCAACCCTCACTTGCCCCCACGAACAGCAAGAAGAGGAAGGAACCCGCGGCGGAGCCTGTCAAGCCTAATCCAAAACGATCCAGATTCAAAGGATTGGGCAACGCGTGGAAGTACCGCCCCGCGGAGCCTCATCCACGACGCTCAACTCGAGGACAGGCTCAGCAATCGGGCAGCGTGCCTTGGAAAAGCCATGCAGACGAGCGCTTACTACTCGGCAACAAGCCTTCCACCCGAACTGTGAGAGACGACGAGGCTGGAAACGGCTCAAGGACTGCGATTGACCCGAGCGCGCCTAGCCAGGACGAGATCTCTGACCTCGAAGTTTCTGAGGCGCGAGGCCGATTCGGGCGAGATGCGGGACAATTCCCGGACCAGTCTGCGTCTGAAGATGACGAACCTGCGGCCTTGTCGCCTAATGGAGATGCTTCAGCATCACCAACCGCTCTTGTCAACAACGCGCAGCGAAAGCGTCGCAAGAAACGCTTTGGGAGACCGCCGACTAAGCCGAAGCCTTGGTTCGACAAGAGCAAGTATCCCCCTGGAACCGAATTCGTAGATGTTGCTGGACGTCTTTACGATTTCGAATACACCCCTCCGCACGGGAAGAGGGCGAGGGTTTTTACCCGTGCAGAATGGGAACAGCTCATGGCGGATCGCCGAGATCGGAATGCGTACCTGGCACGTATGCGTCGCTCCAAGAAGCGGACGGATGACGAACCTGAAGCTGATGCCGAGTCCATGCATGGTGAAAATGACGCTGTCCTGCGAGACGAGCCTGATGAGGAGGACCTGCCGGATCTGCTTGGCGACGAATCGCCGGAGGGCGACGCTGACGTGGTTCCCGATGTCGAAGACGATGTGTCGGGTGACGTCGTGGACGACGGGCAAGCTGCGAGCTTTGGCTCAAGATCCGAATGCACAAACTCTCCCGAGAAAGTCGCGACTTCCACGCGATTTGGTGTAGACCCTCGACGGCCCGAAGACATTCCTGCGGACGACATCGCCACCACAGATCTCGGGAAGCTCATGCTTCTTCCTTTTACTCCTGCGATACTTCAGACCAACGGAATGTCGGCGCAAGACGTCCATAGAGCCAAAGGCGCATTCAACGCCCGAGTTCGGCGGCTCAAAGAACGTGGATATGATCCCCAAAACGCTGCCAGAATGGCTTTCAAGCAGTCAGCAGGTTCGGATGGAGAGGGCAGAGGTCCCATCGTGCAAGCCATCAAGATCCTCACTGCGAAGCGCAAAGAAGACCGCAAGTCGTACGCCGCGTGTCAAGCTCGCATCCGGCGTGCTAGGTACAAGACGAAAAGGCAATCTGATCTTGCTGAGCGAGCGGCTGATGTCATCAATGCCGAACGGCTCAGAGCGGAGATGCAAGAATTTTACGAGTCGCGAGGAGAGGCCGGACCATCCGGCTCCAGACCACCTCTTCCAAGCACCCTTGCCGACGTCCCATTTCTCGCGCCGTACTACTTCGGTTCTCCGCCACGACATCAGGCTCCCCCTTCTCCGCAGCACTTGCGGCAATCGACCTCGAGCCCTACGAGGTCGGCGCAAGATCCCATCGCTGGCCCTGGACAAGAAGCCCCGACCCTTTGCCAACAAGCCAGCCCGCCTCCGCAAGCGGAGAGACAAGACGCCCTGCCAGACAGCCCGGTTGTGCATGTTGAAAGACCCGATCTTGGACAAGGCAGCCCTACATTTCATGCTGAGAGACGAGGCCCAGCTGTCTTGAAAGGGGACATAGGTGCGCCCGAGGAGGAGACAAACTCCAGCAGCCCAACGCAAACCGTGGTGACCAGTGCAGAGGCGCCAGCAAGCCAATCAGATGTTTTGCCAGCTGTGGCGCCGCGGCCTGCGACCTCTCTGAGCCCCTTGGCATCGCGACCGCTCCTTCCTTTGAGCCCGTCGAGCGCTCGAGCAGCGCTGGCTGCCGGTCTTCCGACTCTTCTACCAAGCGCAAGTGCGGTCCAGACGCGACCTGCACCTCTTCCGTGGGATGAGGATGCCACTGGTGCGCCGTGGGGTCCATCCGTCCTAAATCGGGCACGCGCGGCTGTGACAGCAGGCGAAAGACCGAGATGGCCCGGCCCGCCCTTGCCCTCTGCTGTGCGTCTCCCTTGGGACGAGCCAGATTCTCCTTGGGGCAAAATCTTTCGTGGTGGAGGTGAGCAAGCTGCGCCACCTTCAAAGGAGCATCACGTTTCGTTGCCTCGAATGGCTGCACTGCCTTGGGACGAACCGAGCTGGGACGCTGCGTTGGGCAACGGCCAGCCAGGCTTCAGCCGTGAACCGCTGCTGGTGAACCATCCATACAGACTGCCAACCGTGCTGCCTCCCAGTCAACGTGGCCAAAGTATGCATTCTGCTCAACAGAACACCGACGCGAGCCGGCCAGCATGGGCAGCCCCTGCGCATGTGCGCGCAGATTCGGCAAGCGGCAGTACCAGCACGTCTCCAGCCACACCATTGGCACCTCTGCCTACGACCACGACGCAGGGTATCCCGACGAAGTCATTCTACAATGCTGGTACACAGCTCACCGATCCTCATCGGTCACGCTGATTGGACTTGGCACGCGACTCGCCGCTTTTCAGTCCCCTCTTGAAGACCCTTATCATATGAGACGTTCGCTTCCCTCCCTTTCCCTTTCGATATCTCCATCGTGTCGTGTTCTATTCAAAGCACCCGCCACTCTCTCGAGTACGAGCAATGTCACACATTTTCGCGCGATTCACGCGCCAATTGTGCCGAGTACGAAAGAGTCTGGGCTGCATTTGAGGGAGTGTCAGTTGGAAGCACCGTCGATGGGCTTAGTGGTATGACGTTACCGCACCAATTGCAGCTATAGCCGAGCATGAAGGTCACTCGCAGCAAATCTAGCTCAAAGCGCAGCGGGAAGTCCGAGGTGAATTTGCACAAACTCTCATCGCCAATCTTTTGAATTATGCAAATGTGGGCAACAAGAGTGTCAATGAAAGGCAGCGTGCAAGATGAACGATTCCTGCGCAGTCAAACAAAAGAGCCCCTGTTTTGGTGTCCAGAACGTCCTTCGCGCAGTATTTTCTGAACGGCTCAGGGGTTCTCGCCAACCCATTGGACACCCTTCTTGATGTTCTTGGAAAGCTCTGGCAAGCAGGCCTCGAGGAGCTGCAAAGGAGCAAGCAGCGGCAGAAGCGCGATGCGTTTCGTGTCAGTTGGCTCAGTTGGGCTATAGCGGTGCAGTTCTCAACTGCGTGCGTACCTTCTCCTCCTCGGGTGTGATTTGGCCGACAGGGTGGATCTCCTTGACACCCTCGGGACCAAGAGTGACCTTGGAGCTGAAGAAGTCAACGCCTTGGTCCTTGTAGAGAGGAGAGTCGACATAGGTGCACTCGACGACGTTGCCCTCGCCATTGATGGCACGGATCAGGGAGTTGGAGAACACGGCAGCAGCGTAGGCTGTTGAAGGAAGCGTTGTACTGTGTCAACTCAGAGACGCGCGCCGCTCTGTATGCGTTTTCATGTAAGCATGAGCACTTACCCATGGAGAGAGTGGCGCTTCCGGCACCTAGACATCGAAGAAACGGCAACAGTTGTTAGCAACTCACTCGCTGATACTGCGCTTACCCCCCAAGTGAAACAAGTATAGTCTACCCGTAGAATCGGGAGCTGCACTGCATCAACTCAATGCTCACCATCCTGTGAGAGTCGCAAAGAGATGGAGCGCAAACAGTCAGCAATCGCCTGAAATTGCTTGGCGCAGAGCGTGCGCATTTTCCAGCACCCGAATCTTTTGCCTGGTTCCACCTAGATACATCATCCTTCACCCATTGTGTTTCACACTATTTTACTCACCTTGGCCTTGACGACCTCGTCACCGCCGTATTGGATACGGTGCACGAGCTTCTCGTAAAATTCGCCAGCCTTGACAGCGGATCCCTGCTTGGCCTGGGAAAGGAGAGGAACGATTGTGGGTCCAGAGTGACCTCCAACGCAAGGCACGATGGTCTCAGCGGGGTGAGAGCTCGCGATGCCGCTACCAGCAAAAGACAACAAAAGGCGTGTCAGTCGGATTCGTCGCAACGCTCAGACCAGCCTGCGAAGTCGCTGTAGGACTCACCTGAGGAAGGTGGAGGCGCGGGTCACGTCGAGGGTGGTCACACCAAAGAGACGCTTGGGGTCGTAAACACCAGCCTTCTTGAACACCTCGGCAACGATAGGGACAGTAGAGTTGACCGGGTTGGAGATGATGAGGAGGTGCGCCTTGGGGCAGACCTTTGCAGCAGCCTTGGCCAAGTCGCGGACAATGGAGGCGTTGGTCTGAAAGAGCGCGCAAAATGAAGTAGCAAAACGAGATCAGATGCAACGCCGCGGAAGCGAGACTGGGATTGCATACATGGACCAGGAGGCCTTGCACGCCTTCTTGCACCGTTTGGCCAAACTTACGTTGAAGAGGTCGTCGCGGGTCATGCCTGGCTTGCGAGGGACACCAGCGGGGATGACAACCAGCTCGGCGCCCTCAAGAGCCTTCTCAAGACCGTTGTCCTCCGCTCCGTATCCGGTGGTCTGAAAAGCGACGAAAGAAGCTTAGCGGTCACACATGGAGAAACCAAGAGCCTTCTTCTCTCATGAATGGAGCGCCATACACTTACGACGGCGGGCGTGTTCACGTGGCCGATATCGGCAGCGACACCAGGGGCCAGACGGATGTCGAAGAGGCTAAGCTTGGTGACCAGAGGGTCGTTCTTGAGCAGCAAAGACAGCTGTGAGGGGAGGGACACGAGACTTGTCAGCGCTGATGATCAGATAAGGCCATGGAGTGTGCAGTGTCTGTGCCCGTAAGTGGAAACGATGACGACTCTGGACACAAGCGAAGGCAATGCGAAAAACAAGCATTCGTGCCACTGAAAGCAGATTCCCTGGGGAGGCCATAGAGATCGCTTCGTGCCGGCAAAAGGCATTGCCTACTGGGCAGGTCCAAAAGACGGCGCTGAAGACACTCACAGGCTGTCCGATACCACCGCTAGCGCCGAGAACAGCAACGGCCTTGTTGTTGATGGCCGAGGAGCTGAAGAGACGGCTGGAGGGTGCAGCACCCGAGCGCATAGAAGCGCGCAGAGCAGATCGTGCAGCCAACATCTTGTGCTAGAATGTGTTCTGACGAATCGAAAGACCTTTGGAATGCTTTCAAACTGGATGACGCGCAAGGCGATGTGGTATAGTGAAGGTTGTTCTGAACATTTGGATACTTTGATCGTCCGGTCAGGACAGCGCTTGCCTTTGTGCAAAGGACGACACGCGAGGATTTGATTATCTCACGCAGCGCCGCGCTGTGTCGTCTCGCAAGCGCGCGCCCGTGTAGGAGCCTCCCAGCATGGCTGCTGCTGTATGGCATGCTTCTTCGCAGCCTTTCATATATGCCATCAGAAAAACCGCTCGCCCGCCCCATCGAAGCAAGCACGCATCGCATCGCATCGCACGCATCGCATCGCATC